TGAAATCAAGGGGTCTACACTTTGAATCCTTGTTCTGCTACTTACTAACTTAAGCAAGTCATAACTCTAAGGGATTGGATTAGAAGTTTTAATCCTAGGCTTCTTTAAATTTATGTTTGGGAGGGGTATGGTGGTTGGAGAACCTGTGTTAAGAGAAAATAGACTCCTCTCTACTGTTACTCTGGTTTAGCTTTTTTTCATATAATTATTAACCATTAATATCAGTAGATTTTTATAATTGGTCTCAGAACATCATTTTGGGTAACTTTTTTTTTTCATTTGAACACCCAAAAGAGCATTTTTATATATACAGCTGAACACAAAAGGAGGAAAATATAAACTAATTCTGTATATTTCTTTCAAAACTGATTGAGGGGCAGTTAGGTGGCTCAATGAGTGGAACAGTGGGCCTGCAATTAGGAAGACCTGAGTTCAAATCTAGTCTCAGACACTTAACTACTGTGAGAAGTTGGGCAAGTCACTTAACTTCTGTACCTCAGTTTCCTCATCTATAAAACAGGAATAATAATAGCACCTACCTCCCAGTATTGTTGTGAGTACCAGATGAGATAATTGTAAAGCTTTTAGCACAATGCCTGGTACATAGTAATCACTTTAAAATCTCTTGTCACATACCCTATTTATGGGAAATAGCAAGTTTTACCCTTTTCTTCCTACACACTACACTAGTGTATATTACTCTTATTAGCCACTCTTTTATTTTCCTCTCTTAAAACCATCAAAGTGATTTTCTTAAGATGCATGTCCCACCACATTACCCTCTTACTCAATAAATTCCAATGGCTCCCTATTAACTCCACGATCAAATATAAAATCTTCTGTTTATCATTCAAAGCCCTTCATAACTTACCTCCCCTCTCTCACTTCTTTCCAGTCCTTCACCTTCTTCCCACCGAGTACTTTTTTGATCAGCTTCCTGGCTGTTCTGTAAACAATACACTTCATCTCTTGACTCCCAGCGTTTTTTTTTTTCTGGCTGGGCCCCCGGCCCCCCACCTTCTTGCAATGCTTTTCCTCTTCATCTCGACATCCTGGTTGAGGCTTCCCAGACTTCAAATCTTAACTAAAATTCTTCTACAGGGAGCCTTTCCAAACACCTCTTAATTCTCGTGCCTTCCCGCTGCTTATTATTTTCTATTTAAACTATATATAGCTTGTTTGTATGTATTAGTTGTCTTATCCCTTTAGACTACGAGCTCCTCAAAGGCAAGGACTATCTTTTGCCTGTTTTTTTTGTATGCCCAGGGCTTTGCACAGTGCCTGAAACATAGTAGGCACTTAATAAATGTTCATTGACTAACCTTTAGAAGAAAACCAATTTATCCTCAGGTCTGCTGTTTTTCTTGTTTAATTCACTCAATACCATTTGATTACATTAAGGTTTTGACAGAACACTTGTTTCTTCCTCCCCTATTAGAATGTTGGCACTACAGCATCAATTAGTCTCTTTCATTATTCAAATAAATTTTATGTTTCTCTGGACTTGTGTTTCTATTTGAAAGTCCCTACATGATTGTGGCCTTTTTATCAGAAATGTTTGAAAGTTTTCTGTTCCATTAAAGAATCTGTAGGATGATGCTCATCTTTGCAGGGTATTATTCTTGGTTGTAAGCACCTATCTTTTGCCTTTGGGAATATTATATTCCAAGTTCTCCTCTCATTTACGGTAGTAGCTACCACATACTATGGGAACCTGACTGATTACTTGGTACTTGAACTCCCCCTTTCTGTATTCTTGTAGGTTTTTTTCTGTTTGTTTGTTTTGTTTTGTCTTTATTTTTTGATGTGGGAGCTGTGGGTTTTGCCTGTGACCTTCCTCACTTTTACTTTTGGAGCTTCTTATAGCAGGTGATGAATGGGTTCTATCTTCACTTTTTTTTTTTTCCTCCATAAAGAACTCTAGTTCTAAAAAATCATGGTTTTCAGAAAGTCCAGTAATTTTTAATTATTTTTACTTAACCTGTTTTTCAGATCAGTTGCTTTTTATATCAGATATCTTAAATTTTCTTCTAATTTTTCTATCTTTTTGATATTCTAATATTTCTTGCTATCTTACGGAGTCATTAATGTTTTAGTAGGTATTTTCTTTGATTTACTCATCTCTCTAGCTTTAGTTCCTGAACTGAAGTTTTATGCCAGGGCTAATCTCCATCTTTTGCTAAAGTACTGGGTGGAGTAGTTGGCCCTCCTTGGTTCCTGGGATCAGGCCTTGCTTTGATCTTTGAGGTTCAGAGTGCTAGATCTTCAGAGCCTTCAGTGGCATCTCAGGATCAGGACAAACTGCTAGGGACCTCTAAGTGCTGCCATGCCACTGACCACTGCTGCTCCCTAGGGCTTCCAAGGTCACCACCTTTCTGACTACCCTGACCTGCCTCTGGACACAGGGACCTCCAAGCTACATATATTTCTGGGCTGGAAAGCTGCTGGTTATTTGCATGCACCAGCACTGGCTTTGTTGGCAGCCCCCTTTCCCATTGCCCATGGGATTCTGGCTTGGTTTAGTACATAATTCTGGGGTGGAAGAAACTGTTTACTGTAGTTTTCTCTTTCTCAATTATTATTTAGTCTGGCACTAATTTAATATTTTTGATGGAGTAGAAGTATGTGGAACCAGGGCAGTTTGCCTTTATTCAGGCAGCCCCTCTGGGCCAGAAAGCTAGGAAACTCATTTTTATAGGAAAAACAAAGGTAATGTATTTCCCACTGACCTATATCTCCCTACTTGGAACTCTAACCCAGGTTCTTCAGACTTCAGGGACCCTGATTCAAAGGAAGTTCACTCATCTTTGGAGTTTCAGCAGGGACTAGGATCAGGGATTAGCCATGTAGCATGGTCTCTCTATTCCTGGCCCAAGATACCGAACCCTGCTTCACTTTTATGTCCCATCCAAGCCATTTATCTTGACTAGTCCATCATACTATCTCTCCCAAAACCCCTTAACAGAAAAAAACCATCAAACATCATACTATCTCTTCTCCTACTCCTTCACAGAACAAAACTCCTTTTCCTGGTCACCACTATTACATTGTGCTGTCTAATATGAGAATGGATGTTTCTTGAGGACAAGGGACTGTTTTTAAATCTTTGTATCCCCAGAGCTTAGCACAGTGCCAGAGGCACCCAGTGAGTAATAAATACTTGTTTTATTCATTCCCTGTTAAGTTTCCCTCTACCCTCATCTCCAAAATTGAATGTCTTTCTGACTTTAGTTTTAGTATTAGTCTGATAATCAAGTAAATCAGTAAACTAACACTGAAATGATATAAACACAATAAGAATTTTTACTTTGCTATTCTTTACTGTGGGACAGAGAGGGATTTTTGCTGGATTGTATATAGTGGGTTTTTTAAAAGATGAAAAAATCCAAGTGTGGTTTATTTTAGAAGTGATATTAACATAAAGGAAAACTGGGAGCAATCTTTTTAAGAATGAAGAGTTATATTTAAAGGGGGTCTATCCTGAATTTTAGTAAAGAAGGATCAGATGCTATATGAGAAACTGGTTGCAGAAACCCGTGATTGTTTATCCTAGAAAAGATTTAGGGCAAATGTACTCTTAAATTTTGTAATTCTTAGATGTCTTCAAGTATTTTAAGGGCTATAGAAAAGGTTTAATTTGTTCTGTTTCTCTTCTCTTTAAGCCCCCCTGCCAAATTCAAAACCAAGCTGTAAAAATTGTAGAGGCAAATTTAGGCTTGACAGAAAACTTCCTGACAGAGCTACCTAAAAGTGAAATGGATTGCCTTTGAGGGTAATTGGGATCTAATTTTTTATAAATTTTCAAGCAGGGAAGGGAATAAGCATTTATATAAGACCTCTCATGTGCAAGGTACTGTGCTAAGCACTTTACAAATATTATCTCATTTGATCCTCAAAACAACTTTTAGAGGTAGGGATTGTTATCCTCATTTTACAGTTGAGGAAATCAAGGCATACTAAGTGACTTGCCTAGGGTCACACAACTGGTAAGCTGGATTTGAACTCAGTTCTTCCTGACTCCAGGTCTGGCACTTTATCATCCACTGTACCACCCAGCAGAAGCTGGATGATCACTTGTTAGGCATGATAGCCTGACAATGAACACTGACATTTTTTTCATTTTCACTTGAGTTTTGCAAGAAGCCTATGAAATGGGTACTAAAGATATGATTAACCCCTTATTTTGAGGGAATTGAGGCTTAGAGAAGTGTGTCTATTGTTAACACCCCATGCATCCACCTCGGTAAGTTTTGAAGAGGCTTTTTAAGGTGGGGTCTTTCCTAACTCCTCAGTTACTTTGCCACATGGGGGTGGTCTTATACAGGTAGGGGTTGAACAACCTGTTCTCTCTTCTAACTCCTAAAATTAAATAATTTTTATTAAGTCTTCCTGACTATTCAAGCCTTGGCCCAGCATTTAAAGTACTCCATCAGCTGGTTAGTGTGCCTTTCTTGTCTCATTTAACATTACTTCCCTTCGCACACGGTTCCAGGCAAAGTTGATTATTAGTTATATCCTGAACTCACTTTTGCTAGAAGATGCCACCTTTCAGCATCTTCATTGACCAGCATTCAGGTCAGGTGCCACATCTTTTTTGTATTATATCTGATCTTTTCCAGCTAAAAGTATTTTCTCCTCAAATTTCCCCTAGAGCACTTCAGGTCTTACCCCTGTCACATGCTACCTAGTTATTATATTTTGTATACATGAATGTTCCCCCCAAATAGCTAAAGTTCCTTGGGGAAATCTTTATATCCACTGTTTAGCTCATGGCTTTGTATGTAGGAGGTGCTTAATAAATGTTGATGATTAAAAGCAAATGACCTTCCAACTCTGGGATTTTGTGATGCCAGTATATTAAAACAAAGGGTTTCCTTCTCAAGTCCTTTTGTCTCCAATGAACATGTATAAAAACAAAGATTTCTCACAATTGGGCTTAAGGATACTACTCATTTTTCCAACACTTTGTATAAATTTTAAACAAAGGAATTTAAACAGTCTTGACAGTTTCCAAAGTTACATTTTATTCAAAATGTTGGCCCATTAGTTTAATCCAATTTTAATATTATAGGATCATGCCCAGTCTTCTTCACAAAGGTGAGAAAGTCGTCAGGGCTCAAGCCCATTGTGGCTGTGTTTGTCATTGGATGGAAGTACACCTTTTCATATCCACCTTCCAGAAAAGCAGAGTCCAGGACAAATTTCACATCTCCCTGGTCACAGAAGAGAGCCAGAGGTGTGGCACAGCCCTGCCCAACTTTCAGCTTTTCTAGCATAGCCATTTCATCAGCAAACCTCAAATTTCCACTTCCAACACCAAGCTGTTTGGCCAGATCATTCAGGTTAATCTTCCTATCATGAAGGACTGTTACCAGCCAATAACTCTTCTTCCTTTTGTCTTTAAGAAACAGGTTCTTACTGTGTGCCCCTTTCAAGTGTTGGATATGAGGCATCATTTCTTCAACTGTAAATACCTATAAAATAAGATGTCTTTTAAGCACATGATCAGAAGATTATGCTTGGTATCAAAATAAAAACATTCTACTTACTGTGCAAAAACCGTCAATAACAGGAATCCTCCACACTATGAATTTCATGCTTCCCTAGTCCAAACAGTGGCATATTCGGTCCTTCTTACCACTGCACTCCCTTTCTTCTCTATCACTATCACAACATCCTAATCAAGAACTCTTGTGTGCC